TCTTTCCTGACTGAACCCTGCACATCACAGTATCCACATATTGCTCACCAGTAAACCATTACTCTGAGATGTGTACCAGCTAAATGAATAAAACAATAATCCAGAAACCATGCTGTCCTCTATTCCCTCTGAGTAGTTCCTAGCCATATACGTTCAGACATGCACCCAAGAGTCCTCCTTTCTCGGGAGGCTGTCTCAGCCGAGATCTGCTTGGAGTCTGAGCGTATCTACCAATCTCCTGGGCTAGTTCTTCATTGTAAATCCGAGGCTTTAAAGGAATTTCTCAAAGTCATGGAAATACAGTTTGACTCAGAAGACCTTTGATGTGATGAAACCCCAGGTTGGAATTACATCAGCGTGTTATGAGTAACCAGCCCAAGTCTAGTGGAGAGTACAGACGTTTCTAGAGTATTGCCAGAAATGAGAGGGAGCCACAGGAGGAGGACTGCGCTAACGTAACACAAGTTGCCCCAAAATAGCCACTCGGTCTCCAAAAGGTCAATGAAAACAAGGATATTTGACTCACCTGAAGTGTCTATCACAGTGCCACCCGCCTCTCTAATAATGACGGTCGCCGCTGCCAGGTCCCAGCAGTGTAACCCAAACTGGTAATAGGCATCTGCAGCGCCGGACGCCAGATGGCAGAGAGCCAGGGTCGAGCTCCCAATGACACGGACCCTAAACCCCGTGAGAAGGGGACACGGTAACGTAAAGCGGAAAATGCCTTCCATTTCAACCTGTGTGTCGATCGCAAAACGTGCAACGCGCTTGGGTGTTTTGGAACGACTTTCGGTCACAAATGTGAGACGTGTATTGTAAAGCACCTTACCCGTGAGCTTGAGCCTTCAGCAATCTCTCAATGTTACCAAGGAACAATTTCAAAGTTGCAGGGTCACGTTTCGGACCAATTTCTGTTAAAATTAAGGCCTTCGAGATATCTGCAATGTAGGAATTTTTTCCATTAGTCCAACAGCTTCCAGGTAGATTCTGGAAATTTCTTTTTAAATTAAACACCAATGGACTTTTCACAGAAAAACAATTTTCATGTCCCTTTTTTCACCCCAAACTCTTTCATAGGATAAATGACAATTTTGCATAAAATTCAAGCAAGACTAGATTTCTCACACCAAATGGTCTCATTTGAAAAATTCCCAAGCAACAGGAATATTAAAAGCAAGAATGCATTCTTACATTCCTTCTCTTTCCATACATTGTTTTATTTCATTGACCGGTCAGGTTTTGGCAAATTAGCAGTTAACTAAAAATAACCCAGTGACCTGGTAACTATTAATGATGCTAATCTAATCCTATTTGAAAACAGGATTGTTCTTGTATAGGGAACTTAAATGTAATTTGTCAACAGATGATAAACATTTGGGAATACAGTAAGAGGAAAGAAAAGCTCCTACCTAAATCATCAGTCACCCAGTATTAGCTCCCTTCCATTCTGACATTTCAAAGACTGAAGACACCTTATGACTGAAAAAAAACCCTTCTAACAAGCTAAAGCAGTACCTTTATTAAAAATAATAATATATCACTGTTATATTTGCACTGCGTTCAGCAACGGCCGTTCTGACCTATAGCAGGTGAGGTTATCAACCCTGTGTACAGCCAAAGGAGAGACTCACGGTGACTTGCAAGCTGTTGAAGCAGTCCTCACGTGAGATCTGAATATTGCTAGCATGCAACAAGCGTATGCCAGTGTAGGTGGAGATGGTTGGTCGAATGCCAAGCGTCCCTGCTTCTGCTGTGCCAGCTGAACGCGGAGGCATTAAAGATATGACAAAACTCAACGGTTTAGCGGTTGATTACTTACTAACTAGGCTGTGCCCAAGTGTCAGGTGGCACCTTCTACCCTGGGTTAAAGGCTAGGGAACGTCTACCTGATTATTACAGCTAATTGCAGAAGGTGAAAATTCTTAACAGAAGCAGCAAGGAGGTTTTCAAAAGCAAATTAGACTGGAGTGAGACATCATTTAATTAAACAGGCTAATGATGAATTTAGTATCGCAGAGGAACATTACGGACTCAAGCAATGCGGGAAATGGTTGGTGAGTAACAGGTACATAATTAGATTAAAAGTTACCCAGTATCACAGAGCTTAAGTGTAGGAACATAGATTTAACAACGGCTTCTAAAATTACTGCATTAAAATATATTAACACCAATCCAGGCATGCTGCAGGGTATTCGCTGTTTAGCCACCACTGAAAGCTCTGGATGGTGAAACCAATCTGCCTTAGATCTTTCTGCATAACAGACCCAATTTATAATTACAGAACACTTAACGCATGCCTCACTGCTGAAATGCACCGAACATTCACACCACACCAGTCATCGCTAGGTCGTGACTAAGACGGTTGTTCTTTTGAGTTATTAATTATATTTCTAATGCATAAAAGGATCTCTTCAATTCTCATCAGACTACAGGTAGGAATTGGATGAAGAGACTAAGGCAAGGGAGAGGGAGGTGTCAGCTTAGGAGAAGGAGCTGGCTGATCACAAGACTTGATGAGGTTTCAGGAACTCAAGGTACAAGAGCAAATTTACTGACTACTCCTCACTCTGACAGAGGCCAGAGAAATAAGGAGGTTTGGTAGAAGAGATTTAACAGTGATATGGACAGGTTTATGAGGAAACAATCAAATCTGTTGACCACAGAAGATTAAAAAAAGAAAATACAGTATTAGCACATGTAAGACCTGACCTGAATCTAAGCATGAGAAGAAAGTATCGCTGAAGATCAAAGGGAAGATGGATCCTTCATTTAAGTGTGTCCTGACTGCTTGGACTCCCATACCAGACCTCTACAGAATTTGGCATTGACAGAGAACAGCATTTGCCTGGACTGTGATTTCAAATTATTAAATCTGAACAATGCATGTATAGTATAGATTAATGTTATACACTAGCCACATTTCCTGAAAAGTATGAAGTAATGTGACAGCCTGGATCTCCAACACATCATGCATTGGTGAAGGCTACTTGAGTTCCAGCGGCAGGTACAGGGACACACACTCTCTCTTCCAGGGTTGGCTTATTTTACTGAAGCCAAAACCCTTACAAGAAGAGAGCAACTCTGATTTTATACACTTAAAAACGTCAACAGAAGTGAGACTAAAGAAGATCCATCTTCGCTGGTGAAACTGCCCACCACCAAATGATGTCTCTCGAAACAAAGGAAAATTTCAATGCATTTGGAAGGGCAGAAGGTCCTTGCCATGTTCTAGACACCCCAAGGCACAGGATGTCCAGAGAAGGGAGGACTAAAGCAGCATGTGCCAAAATCGTTCCTTGCTCAGGGGGAAACCAGAACTCTCTGACTGCAGAAGCAAGTGAGGCCATTTCAAGAGTGTCTCAGCCCAACTGGGAGCACCCCTAGTTTTTCCCAATAGTCTCTGCCAGCATGGGCTTTTGTGGAATATGAAATATTCAAGCACTGACAAAAATGTGATGTATAATCAGGGATTAAAATTTTAGGGGACACTCACTTCACAATTTGTTCCATCTCTCCATACAGGGAGACCCCAGCTCACTATTAATTCAGGTGAATAGACAAAATTCCCAAATTCCAGGGAAGTTTTGATACAGGATCTGCTTGGAGCACTACAACAACTCCGTATGTTGCACTGCTTGAACTTTTCTGTGTTTCAAGTTCATTAGAACTCTTTTTGGGATGACATTTTTAGCATCTCCTGTGTAAAATGATGTACATTTTTGGCACATGTCTGCCTCTGTCTACAAATGAGTGCATTTTGATCGATTAAAAGTTCTCTACAAACACCTGATTATTATCTATTATCATTAGATAAACAGACAGATCTATGACTCGGTTTACCACTAAAAGATTTCCTTTAAAGTGTTGACTAAGTAAGTGTTGCTAGCTATTCGTACGCTGAAACACACCTCACACACAAAGGCAAGCTGTTAAAGAACCCCTAACGAAGCATGCATCCTTCAGTTTACTGTTAGCATGAATGCCTACAGGCATAATACACTTTATGACATACAAGTTTATTGGAAAGTAAGTGAATGACGGCCGCCATAGTACTCTGAAGTTGATTCACCATTCCCATTGCATCTTGCTCATGAAAAGTGATGCCAGTGTACGGCTGGAATGAAACTGGTGAATCTACTCATTCTTCCTTATTTTAAACAATGGTTATGAAGCAAAATATTTTAGGATTATTTAAATAGTTCACATTCAGATGCATATTTTAAAAAGAAAATGAGGAAAGTTGTGATTTTTCAGCAAAAAACCCAAACACACAACAACAAAATTATCATGCAGGTGAAAGACTTTCCATCAGGATAATGATGTTCATTATCCTAATGATGATTTGCAACAACTCTGAAACAAAATTAACATATTCCTTTTAGAGTTCTAACAAAATCTAGACCAACCTGTCTCTTTTGATACCTGAAGCCTTTTGTCATTACAAAATGCCCCTTGACCTCTTCTACCAGTGTATAATCGTTCTTCAGTGCAGTGGTAAATTACACCAAATTCAAGCTTTAAGATTTTGAAAAGGAAAGAAATGAATGCAACTCAAATTACTCATCATAAATATAAACAACTACTAATGGCAGAAAGATCAGCAATATTTTAATTGGTACAAGTAATCAAAGATTATATTGATGCTAATAAACTGAAAATATTTTACTATTACTGTGATATAGGTCATATAAAATTCAGTTTATAAAGAGAAGTTAATGCAATCTGTGAGCTTCTAAAACTCTTACTTGCAGCTTGTTTGCGTTCACACTGGAATGGGTTAAATGCTAAGCTGATTTCAAATTCAGTTGTATGTTTTGATTGAAAGTGTGCAAGTCCCCTAAGGCCAGATTCTGAATGTTTTACTTTCACTGGGGAGCCGTTACACCTAGAAGTAACCCTGCTGACTTCGCCTGGACCCTGAAGATTTGCAGCCCCAAACACATAGAGATGATCAGTCAGGCATCCCAACTCAGCAGGCATGGCACACTGTTTATTAGCAGTGGATGCTCTTATATGCACTTCGCCTTTCCTGCTGCATTTAATCTGCCCGCCTTTTCAACCAAATTAGTAGGCTCCAGTCACTTGTTCAGTTGTTTCTCTGCAAAATCCTTTTGTTTACACGTAAAAGTGAGAATCTCATGAAGTCACACGGCTGCAGGTGAAGGAAGTTTGAAGAGAAATACTAAATACTGTGACCCTCAACGAAAGCTTGAGCATGAGCAACACTGGATTTTTTGTGGGAATATCTGTTTACCAATGACAAGAGGGTCAGAATTTGACTCCTCATTTAATCCCAAGGTATTTAATATTTCCATTACTTTAACAGGTTTCACCAAAAGGATTTAAAGCACTTTACAAACTTCAATGATCAGCTCCTAAAATCACCCCCAGATAATTGCTATTAGCAATATCTTATTTAGGGCTGGACAGATACACAAAAATTAAGTGACTTGCCCAAGGTCACAGAATTAGTTGGTAACGAGGTCAAGAAAACACCTCTGATGTTCCGGAATCCAAATTTTTTCCTGCAGCCCTCCTCCATTCAGTGTGAATAATCATTGGTGTTCATCAGCGACAATTCAAAGGGAATAGGCTGTCCTCGCTCCCTACCCTGAGGTCCCATCTAAACCAAGTGGGGTTTTTTGAGGAACACACTATTAATAGACTTTCTCCCTGAAGACATCTGCAGGAATTTCTTCAGTTCAAGGCCTACATTCAGGCCAGTTCCCCTGTGTGTACTTTGGCTCCTTTTCAGCTTATTACTTTTTTCTGCTTTTCCCATTTGTTTGCTGAGGGAGATTTAACATTATTCTTTATTTTTGTTTCAGCTTTGTTTAGTTTACATAACCCAAAATATGCAGCATCAAAATCATGATGGTGTTCTAGAAAACATAAATATTAGAGAAAGCTGTCTGGTAATAATATGTGGTAGTAAAAAGGACCCTTGGGAATGAATAAACTGCAGAAAAGCATGGAAGTGTTTCTCTGCAGTTTCCATGTTTGAAAAGTCTAACTGGAGAAGTACACAACATTACTCTTTAAATCAGTAAGAGCCACTAGCACATCTGAAAACTATGCTGTTATTGCACAGAATTCTTGCTGGCTTCACTTACAGCTATACATATATTTAAGATCGTGGAATCAGGCTGAAAGAGGCACATTCCTTGGCAATTTGAACAGCTATTTCTTCTGTATATATCAAGCTGTAAACCAGCAACGTCTGGAGAAAAGGCACTAGCATAAACAAGTACAGCTAGGAAACTGAAAACAGCACGTACGAAAGCTAGGTACTTCTTCTCCCCCGTAATCAAGGTCTCACGTGGGAAAGATAGTTATTTTACTGTGTTAAGAAAACCACAAAGGCAGATTAAATGAACTAGGCCGATAATTTTGCACTCTTCATGGCAATCAGTTCTGCATTGCCTCCTAGCAGCAGTTAGCTATCACAGATACTGCCAGCAGGACAGAAGCAGTAATAGTAACGTAAGGACACTGGGAGATACATTTAAATTATGAACAGGCAGCACTATATTTAACTCATTATGGTTTCGTCTTACAGAACTTTGCTCATACCAGTACTGCCTTTTTCCTCCCTCACATTAAGTCCTGTAATATTTATAATAATTTGTAAGAACTGGCTTGTAATTGCCAGCTTGCGTAAGCAAGTTTTGAAGGACTACAACTTTAGACTAGCAGAGTATGAGCAAATGCATTTAAAAAGCGTGGAAAAACCTGAATAGTGGCTCTTCTTTTTTTTTTTTTAATATAATTTGATTTTATTTAAAGTTCCCACAGGGTTTGAGGCTTCTAAGCAGCTATCAGGTACCCATCTTAAAGAAGACACTTCATACCTCTTTGTTAACAGCAAACCCAATGCTCACTGCCACTGTTGGAAATCTGTGAAAAATAAGAAATTAAGTATTATTGATTAAAAAAATCTCAACTTACTCCTTACACAACTCCTTTAGGCAACAAAACCCCATATGGAGCTCTGTGATTTTACTTGTGTCAAAATGCTCTTGAGATTGTACTGTTTCTCCTTTGTCAGCCTCTTGAACTTTGCCAGTTCCTTTAAAAATGTAATTCAATGTTGGAGAAGGCAAGAAATAAACAAACGAAAACATCAGGATTTTTATACTAAATTTCTTATAGCATACACATACTGTAACACATTTAGTATAAAAATTTCAGTGACCATCTTGCTTTAGTGCAATTGAATTATCCAGTATCAAATCACTAACGTTGTTACAACAAGTCATCACTTTTAAGAGCACCTTTTGTTCAAGTTCAGGCACCCAAGACAGCAATTAAGTAGCACGGAGATACCTTGCTGCTGACATCAACATAAGGAGAAACCAGTTCCACTACGTTCTCTTTAGTCAAAGTGATGATCATTTACATAATTTGGTCCTTTTGACAAAAGTAGGATTATTGCATTTTCAGCAATGAAATAAATTAATTTCTTAAAAACACGTTTTAAAAAAGGGCTGTAAAGATCCAGAAAACATTGCTAGAAGAGAAAATTCTACTTAATTGCATGAAACACCTGCACACGACACCCTCCCACCCTCTGCTTGAACTCTCTGTAATTGCACCAGAAGTCCAGGAAATGCCCTTTTTTTTTTTTTTTAATGACAACAGCAGTTATCTTAAGTCACTGACTATGAGGCAGAACATATTTAAGGTTTTTAAGTAGAAGTATTATGAACAACCATTAGTTTACAACTCCTAGCAGTCAAATGATTAATTAAACTATTGCATTTTTACAGTAACGATGCTCAGATTTCCTACTGCAGACAGGTATTACAGAAATTTAAAATAAGTAACTATGTACAACTTAGTTTTCAGTTCTGCCCTACATATATGCAGCAGTTGTACTTCCCCGGAAAAATAAGCACTTGTATTGGAAAGGGAGAAAACTCCACTACTAAAAGGAATGTGTAACAACCACATAAGGCGTTAGGCCAAGTGTCATGACAGCACAGCCTTGTTCCTCCAGTTCAGCTCAAGTCTCTGCACGTTCATGTGCGGTTGGATATGTAAACGAGCTGTGAGTCAAGAGCTTTGGGTCATTAAGCAATCAGCAGAACCTTCAGCTTACCCTCAGATAAGAGTACAGAGCTCTCTCCAGCACAAACACACACTCCCTCAGATATACCACGAGAGGAGCACAAAGAGAAAGGGATGACTCCCACTTATGAGTCAAAGGAGCAAATCTACCACAGTAAAGCACCTTTAAGCGGAGGGGAGGGTTTGTGAGAAGCTACATTTTGCCTTTTTTTTTATGTATTCCCCAGTTCACTGTCCACTTACCTGTGCACAAAGTTGCACGTTCCATCAACAGGGTCAATTATCCAGGTTGGACTGTCAGTGAGGACACATTTTGAACCAGCAGCAGTGGATTCTTCTGCAATAAACCTGCATTTGGTGTGGAGTAAAGCAAATGTCGCAGAAAATGGGCTTAGATATGCGAATCGGAAAGTCAAACTCTGTCTTTCTGCTTTTGAAGAGATACTTAATTTATATACACATCTATATATAATATTTTTGTATATATGTGTATGCACATATAAACACACATTGCATTTTTAATTTGGGAATGGGGAACTTCCACAGAAACTTCGAAGGAGACATCTCAAATTTATAGCATACTGTTTTACATGATAAACACCCCCCTGCATTTATGTTCCCTTTCCTAATATACCATTAAGAAAGTCAGGAAAATGAATGCAGGATTGGATCTGAACTGGCGTCCCTGGAACTCTAGAAGAATTTGTTTTTTATGCAGAATGTAATTTTATGGGTTAGGCCTGTCTTTTACAGTAAATAAAATTAACAGCAAACTGTAGTTGCTTCTCTTTCGCAGTCAAATTCAGTCAGCATTTAATGCACTCTTAGAAAATCCACAATCTCACTCCTACTTGAATTTTTTACAGTAGTCTGACTCAGGAAACGAAAAGGTTTACAAAGCTGAACTTTCTTTTTCCCATGACCCAGGGAAAATCAACAAATTAATTTTTTGTTTGTTTGGATGCACAAGGCACACATTGAAATCTGAGCTCATCTTCTGTTCTGTCCCAATTTCTTTTAGTAGATATGCTTTTTCCCCTCCCCTCCCCCTCCTTTTTCCCTGGGAAACGAACATCCAGTTCTGTTTCCTGCTGTTTTTGACCTTAATTATCCCTGTTCTCCCATAAACTGCTCAGGGTCTGTTTCTGTAAGTGCTGTGCAGGTGCTACTCTCACAGATCTGAATGGGGTCCTGGATGTGCAGAGGGTGTAGAATCAGACTGCTGGTACTGAATCTTGCTTTTGGTTTCACAATCAACTGGTAGTGATTGTTAAGACGAAAAAGCTTCTCTCAAAGACACAAACAGAAAAAATTTGAATAAAATAAAGAGAAAACAGCTTTTGCAGAAACAGCTGCTTCCCTAGGACTAGAGTAGCAGCTATTTTCTTTTGTGCCCTCAGCACGCACCGCATGATGCTACGTAACACTTGCAACCACGAGCTTAAATTGTTCTACAGACAGCACAAGAGGAGACTTCTTGAATTTTCCAAATGCGACTCTGCCTTCCCCTCAGTAGAAAGGGACTATTTTGATGGCGTTATGGGCCCCCAGTTGATACGAAGAGGAATTAGGACGTGTTTGTTACTATTTTCATCTCCATTAAAGATAACAGCTGAGGGATGAAGTGCTAGTGTGCAACTGAGAAACAGGAAAGACTTGAACAAGTGTTTGGAATTCTCAGTCAAACATAGCACCTAGCAAACTCCTTGCTCTAAATATTCCATTATTTTGCCTTGTTGGTGCTGTTGACTTTTGCTTTTACAAATCTTGTCATTAGCACCTAAACCCAACCAGCTCCCCAGCCACAGCCTGAACTGTAGCTGCTGTTTTGCCAGTCAAAGAAAGGTGACATGGGAACCTCTTTGAAGACAAGAGTGTAAGGAGTTTTGCCCTCAGGTATCCTAAGTCCTTCCCTTGCCTTTTCCTTAGAGCAAGGTGCGACTCTGCAGTCCTCACATACAGAAATGCTAACGTGAAGCCGGGGCACAGCACTGCCATTGGTAGAAGTCTTCATGTTCAAGCACATTTTTTTCCAAAACAAATGTAGGAAAAATTATGTGCACATTTTAAGAAATTTGGGCTAATAGGGTAAAATCAGAATATCAGAGGATCACAGAATGCTTTGGGTTGGAAGGGACCTTAAACATCACCTAGTTCCAACCCCCCTGCCATGGGCAGGGACACCTTCCACTAGACCAGGTTGCTCAAAGCCTCATCCAGCCTGGCCTTGAACACTTCCAGGGATGGGGCATCCACAGCTTCTCTGGGCAACCTGTTCCAGTGCCTCACCCCCCTCTCCGGGAAGAACTTCTTCCTGATATCTGATCTAAATCTACCCGCAAGGGTACATTACAAGGGGTAATTTAAACCCATTACCCCTTGTCCTATTAAGCCACTTGCTGTTATACAGTAGTGGGTACTGTAAGAGGTCCTCAGATGTGTTGCTCTATGGCTCCCTGTCCTGTGAAAACATGCAAACTAAGCAAAACATTCAGCCTGAAGTACTGGGGAACAAATTTTAGGAACATCTTAAGAAGTGGGAGGGGTAGCCATGTTATCACAGTAGTTAATTCAATATGCCAGCCTGCCAGCTCTTTTGACCTCTCTTCAAATCTGGATTACCGTTTTCTCCCACTGAAAACGAGTCCAGTAATTTTAGCCTAGCCTTAGTGGACATCTGTTCATACCACAGCGCCGCTCTGAAATTCGTTGCTGGAACGGCAGGGCAACGGTAGCACGGCATGAGCCACGTCGGGATGGGTACCCAGTCGAGTGCAGGAGTGTCAAACTGGGGCTACCCCTCACCCATCCCTGTATGGGGGTCTGAGGGCAGAAAGCCAAACAGCTAGAGTTGGATGTCACCCACCGTGATGGCTGTGTCCTGATCTTAACATCTACAGGATTAAGGCCACAATTAACACCAAACTTGATGACAACTTGTGTAACAATAACACAGGCAAATGGCACGACAGCCTTTTTCAACCAGTAGTCCTGGATATTCTGGTTGTGTCTACCCACAACTCAAAGATCTACCAGAAAAAAATATCCTTTTGAAAAGACTCACTCGGAGCATGTCAGAGTACCAAAGGGTGGGCAAAGATGAAAACTCGGGTGAAGCACGGATGAGGAAGATACATATCCCTTAGTCAAGCAGAGAGAAGAAAGAAACATGGGACAGAATTACCTTTTTAACAGGTTTTTCTAATATTTCTCTTAACTTCTGAGTAAATTTCTGGTACCTCAAGACTCATCACTGCCACAGTGCAAACAGCACAGATTCTAATGAGATCCCTTTTAATTTTTATAACTCCTAAGGTACATTTTTTGATTCAGAGAACATAAGCATCACGATGATTTAAGGGAAAAAGAACTAACAGAAATCTTCCGTGATGTTTTCAACAGCCAGATTAGGGGAAAGCCTGAACATAATTTAAATGATCTTTTAAGGCTTTCATTGCACTTTAATCTAAACCTTGATTGATACTGTGGGCTCCTCATTGGAAGTGTTTTAACCTAGTCTAGTTAAACCTAGTTTTAAGCTATTGTTTAAATGCCTTCACCGTTTGAACAAAGCCCAATCAAAACCAACAACCAATATCAGCAAGAAATAATTGTTTTGAATAAAATGGCAATTCCTTCATTTGCTTATAAGGTCAGAAGTTAACTGTACAGAGTTAATAAACTCAGAGATTTTTCAGCTCCTAGGTCTATGTTGACCTTACAACTTCTGTTCCCATTCTGAGTAACTCGAGTGTTTTTGATGATTCTCGTTTTATGTGAAATGTGTGTTTTATGTTCTCTGCCGGGTTGTTCAAGGGAAAAAAAAAACCCAACGTGAAGAGTGGAGATGAGAAAAGAGCAGAGCCAGCAACAGCAGAAGGAGTATTACACAAATAATAGGCTTGTAAAGCCTGGCACTCTCTTGAGAATCGCAGCCAAGAACCACACACTCCACTGTACAGTACTGCTTCAGCGTGTGATCACACACAACACGTATTTAGAAAGCCGTGTTTAGTATATAATGTTCTCTGTCTGCTCCTCCTTATGGTGGTTTTTTTTTCCAGCAGCATCACTGACAAACAGATTAGAAGCTGAGCTCTCCAGATTTTCATCTTTGTGATTTCTGCGTGGCACTAGAGTGCAAGGCTCATCTCCATCAGAGATGCACACAGTTAGAAGGAAGTCATACAGTATTTAAGGGACGCACAGGCTCTGCAGGAAGATGAATTCTATCCTTGCGGCCTGAAGTCAAATGTGGAAATCGACTGCAGAGTATCTGCATCAAACCAAACCCAGCCAACTAATACAAACCCTCTCTCTGACCTGTCCATGAGCTAGGAGTGGTTATTTTCAAACTGACCGTAACAATTCAAGAGGAATTAACAATTTGATCTATTTTTAAAACCCTGGGTTGACACCCCATATAGTAATTTAACACCTGTTTATGTATATGCATCAAATTAAGATGATGATAACCAACCCTGCTTCTCACTGATTTTAGGATTCTACACAACACAAGGCAAATGTGATTCAATACGATACTTGTCCTGCTCTGGCAAACACTTATGTATGATGGCAAAAGAAGGTGAAGGAAAGGTCTGCAGGATGGGACCTTTGCTATTAATTCCAGCTATGGATACCCTTAGAGTAATTCTTATACAACAGAGAACAGTATTCTGAAAATCATGGAGACCCATATGAAACCTTCACACACGCTGTCCCTACAGGAAACTTTACTATTTAATACTTAAATCAAGGAGCATAGCTATTAGTAAATACAAAGTACAAAGTATAGGGAAGTGGTACGTTTTAAACAAAGGAGTATTATGAAAGTGTCCAACAGCAACAGGCTAATACACAAGGAAGATCTATAGACTTTTACAATTCTATTTAAATGCCAGTCAGATATATATACAGCCCTTAAAACAAAAAAGGCCACTGAGAGTTTCTTTATATAGGCACTCACCTGTGGGAGGGAAACTTCTCTTTCAGGACAGAAACAATTAAATTTTCAACAAAATGATCAGTTTCTGTCACAAGATCTGCTGCAGATGTCTTTGTGGACACTTGTTTTTCCTCTGTTAGAGCTTTCCTAATAATCTGAAACAGAAGTTGACAAATTAGATTCGCTGGCCATTCATCCTGTGCACACTAATATTTGCTGCAAAATCATAGCTGATCCTGAAAAACAACTGTAGGCCTAATTGTACCACAAGCTGTTCTAATTCTTCTGACTAAAAATCCTTCTGAGCTAAGGAACAGTCTTTGGGAACACGGCATTTGATCACTCTGCAAGAACCTCTCCTGACAGCCTAGAAAAGGATTAATGAATGGGATGCAACTACTGGAATAAAAGGATGATGGCAGTCATCATGATTTAAGAAATGACAAAAAATACATGTAAGATAAGAAAGAGCCTCGAGGCTCAGGAATTTTTCATGGAAACCCCTGTTTCTTTTTTAATTTACAGGGCCAGTACCCACTGCTCTCTTACTTTTAAAAACATGCAATAAGGCAAACCCCCTTGGTGCCTTTTTTTTGCCAACAAAGACACACAAAGTTTATTTTGTCTTGTGTATACGTGTTTTCGGAACTTCAAGTGCTGACCCCCCGCTAGTTCCCAAAGAACTGCTATATATTTAAGAAAAACAAAAAGTCAGACTTTTCCCTAGATACGGAACCAGTGATCTAACCCTGGATTCTCTTCTGGAAAAGCCTTTATCTCATTTTCAAGGGACTAAACCACATCAAGTGCAAATGCACACATGGGAAAACAGTTAATAAAAGCTTTTTCCCAATTTTCCCATTTTCTTTTTGTTTTTTTCCACTCCATTAAAAAGGAAAATAAGGGGCAGGATGCAAAGGAAGCTGAGTTACTTTTTAACCAGGGAAAATGATAAACTAGTTGAAATTAGGAAAACCAAAACAAAGCAAAAATTAAGCACCACTTATTTGTATAGAAAAACATTAACTAAAACCAGCACCAACAAGACCGATATTCCAAGTCCCTTCTGAAACTTACGTATTTCAATTGTTTAACTACATTTCCATAGATCAAGGCATTTTAAAACCATTGAGACTGTTTGATGAACAAAGAGAACAGTTCTGCTGTATTATGCATGGGAAGGGGAACCAGCACCTCCCAAATTTCAGTCTCAGCTCTTGGTTTTCCTAGTAAAAAATACCATGTTTGAAGGGTATGCTGATTGTTCTGACAAGTAACGGACATTGCTGACTGTTGCCTTAGTAAGGAAGGTATCTGGACTAACGTTTCTGCATTGGGAGCAGTAAAACGACAGTTGTGCCTATTTACTGAGCTCATGCGGGCAGGTTAATACTTTTTGGTTTGAGGTCTTGCTAAATTTTGTTATTGTATATTAAAATATTAGCAACGCTTAATCTTTTTACTTCCCACAATGCCCTACATGGTTTTGCTGAAGGTTTTACTACAGAAGCATAAAAGTGTAGCCCTAGGAAGGCCCCTGGGCTCCTCTTCAGTCCAAGGCAAACTCCAAAACACTCCAACCATCTCAGTTGTGTATTCTAAAAAAACTGCTACACCGATACCTTTTATTTGAATTGCCCTTCTTTACTTTTATATTGCCTATATATAAGTAAATGCCCCCCTCGGAACTGGGCTCAGAACTTTGCACAGTGAAATAGATGAGGCATACACTCCTTCCGATAGAGTGGATTTGAATTTCTTCGTAGCAGTGCCATGTTCACGACTTCTGTTTCAATACATAGTAGATTGAATCTCCACATGCTCAGGAGGGGAGTGAGATCACGCCTGAACCTTGCTGAAAAAAGAAAAGTGGCGGTGAAAGCTCTCTTCCATGGCTGTGCTCTGCAAGCAGTTGCTTTCAATCATGTGCTCCAGCACTTCATCTCTCCCCTTTGAATAAAACCCTTTGCACCTCTCAGCCCTGAATTTAGGATTTTTCATTTCTGATCCCCCTTCCAGTTGTTCATGACCATTTTTAACTTTAACCCTGTCCTGCACATACCAGCCTGAGGCTCCAGCCACTCTCGAAGTGGGAATAAGCCGAGGGTGTGACTGATACAAAGTGGTGGCTGACAGCCTTCTCGCCCGTCTCCTCCTTTGCAGGCCTATGCCTAAGGGCTGTGACACACATCACCCAGCCCTACGATGGGCTGCTTCTCCCCGTCCCTTGTGCCGAGGGGAGAGCAGGAGAGAAGTCATGATGCTGTGCTGAGGTGACCAGCCACAAACAGGCACCACGTCTGTACTAGCTCACCTGCGGTACCAGCTGAAGCTGTGTGATGGATGGGTCCCTTGATAACTCTCTGCCTCTCATGAAAGGTCTGGCAAAAGGGACTGATATGCATTTGCACGAGTATGCAATCCAAGCCAGAGTCCCCCACACATATCACGTTCCCTGCATCATGGGTGAAACAGCTTTTATTCTTCACGAATTTATCAAACAGCTCAGAGTGGTCCAGAATTCAACTTAGGTTGAATAATCCCTAAAAATCATCTGCCTACAAAGAGTGTTACAGCTCAATGCCTGGTACTTCAAGAGCATCACTCAACTCCTCTCCTTGCAGAAGCCTTAGGATAAGGTTTGTAGATACCTACTGCAATTGCATGGTCTTCCCAGGTGGGCATGGAGCTCCATAGATCTCTCTCTCTAGGTAACAGGCAGCAGGTAAGTGGAAGACCAAAGGAACTACATGAAATGAAAACAGCTGGTTGCTCCCTTATCACTACTGTACAATGAAATTGGCAACCAAGATGCTGTATTTTGGCTGTAAATGTATTTTACTAGGCTTTATGATGGTACTATAGGTTGCCCCTAGATTATGGAGATTCTACAGCAATTTCTAAGCAGCTGGGTTTCGGAAGCATAGTTATTTAGAGCAGAGTCACTTAACACTTTTAGCCCATGCTGCCCATCTTCTAATAAACAATTGGCTAGATCTCACCTTAATACCCTGCTTGGGAGTATCTGGGGGGTTATTTACACCAGTACATGCATGAAGACCACATCACAGAGCATGACTCAGGTTGTCCATGCTCCCATCTTCATTTGTCACAGAGCAGTCACAGCCCTGAACTCTTCCTTTCCTAACACCTTTGTGAAATTAAGTTATACAACACAGAATGGAGAGCCAAGATTTATTCTCCCCCAGTACCTGCCAGGAAAGCCACCTACAGTGAGGTGCTCGTGTCAGATATTTCATCTCACCATACTGCTTGCACTCACTACTCGCTTCTGGGAGCTCCAAGATGGATTCACTTGCTTGCAACATTATCTAGATAAAAAGCCTAACTACCTGCAAATAATTTAAGAAACACCAATCTGTTTTGCTAAAAAAAAAAAAAAAAAAAAAGGAAATCTGTCCATGTTCCATATAAAATAGCCTAACAATATCCTCTGGGAGCAAACATTGGGGGAAAAAAATCTTGGCTTTTAGAATATCAGTAGAAATTTTGCCTCTTTTTAGTGGGATTCTGCTAGGTCTCTTATGACTCACAAAGTCATTTACTGGGAAAAAAGAAAAAAGAGGGGGAAAAAGAAGTGAAAAAGTAGCTGGCTTCTAATCTCAGTTTCTTACCCTTTTTTCACCTGGATGCACATCTATTCACTTTGGTGAAGTTTCTCCAACTGTAATTGTAGAGCACTGTGCAAATACTACTCTGCTCTCAATAGCATCAAAGATGTAGAGACTAGTTGTGCCTGCTTTTCTTCAGCAAAAAACTCCTATTAAGCCAAGGGGTGTGCTCTCAAGAACACAGCAAGAAGAGTTTACTCACAGAAAAATCAAAAAGAGAGGTTCAAAAAAGTGCAGTTGCACGTAGCCTTACAGAGCAAATTAGACATAATTTTAATGCAGGTCAGTTATAGAGATTGCAAAACCATGGCCATTCTCATTATGGAATAGCCATATATAGCAAATGAGAGCCTATGATACTGTGTAAAAATAATGGAACTAAGTAACAGGATGGGCAGGAGAGGCAATGATTTTAACCTGGGAACAGAAGTTACTCCAGCAACATCACTTTTGACACGTATTCAAGCAATCATTTCTCTATCGGCCTTTTAAGTTTAGAAGAAACTATTCCAGAGGATAGATACCTATCTGCTGGAAAGAAGATATATTTTACTTATCCTCCTGAAACACGATGCAATGTAAACCAAACAGTCACGTAAACCAGAAGGGGAGACCAGGAAATTGCATTACCGGTTAACTTCTCCCAGAAATCCCAAATCTTGACTTGCGTGCCTTTCTTCATGTTGGCCACTGTGCCAAGACTCTTGTAGATACTTTCGAACGATTCCACACCTTCCTAACCTGCTATGGTCCTGAGAAATGGAGGGCCTTAAAAAGGGGGGCTGAGGTGGCAAAATTTTGCACAGGGATAGAGACAGGACTTGGATCTGGGCAGACAGAGCGCAAGATTTCTGGGGATGGAGGTGAAGGTGGAGAGGCATGAGGGGTGGGAAGAGAGGCAGAAGAAAAAGATGAACTTGACCAGTGGAACTGACTATTTTTGGTGACCAAAATGAAACTCCATTTATCAGTCAATTTTCAACAAAAACCCAGTCCTATCAAATTACGTTACACTGGATTTTGTGTCCTTATCTCTAGATTCTTTGGGAAAGAGCTGGAAGTGGATTGACAGTAAAACAAAAGATACACCCCTACCTGCACCTTTTCTTCCACAAGGATCTCTGTTGGTTTTCCTAACTAAAAACATTCCTTAATGTTACAAGGTTAATAAAAACCCTACCCAGTTCCAAAGTCCTACTTAAGTAACATCCTTGACTGGTTTAAATTTGGCCTGCCAAGGAATCGGCCATTTCCTGCCAGTTGCAAGGTAGCGCTGGCAAACTGCGAATGAAAAAGATGCAAGGATTAATCTTCTGGAATGTTAATTTCTTCCAGGAAAAGGTGCTCAGCTGTGATCTTCTGGGTGATTAAAATAGCTGGAGACAGTCACGGCTGTCTTCACAAGTAGGTATTTTGAGAAATAAGGTGTGGAGGCTTGAGCAAGTCCTAAGAGTCACTCTTGTGAAATGGCTGGCAGAACGAGCATGCTGAAGAAACTCCTGTTTGGAGAGTCTGTGAGAGCA